TCAAATGCAAGTAAACTTTTGAATCATTTAAATTAGCATTATTTTTAATATTTTATTTAATTCCAGGAGGGAGTTTACAGCTGCCCTCAGTGCAGACAGACCTTCACTCCAAGACCTGCTTTAAATAAGAATGTGATGCTGGCTGAAATGGTGGAGAAACTGAAGAATAAAAAAGACCAGATGGATCAGTCTCTCAGTTACGCTGCACCTGGAGATGTGGAGTGTGATGTCTGTACTGGAAGGAAGCGTAAAGCTGTCAAGTCCTGTTTTTTGTGTTTGGAATCTTACTGTCAAACTCACTTTGAGCGTCATGAGGAATCTCGTTCAAGTAAGCGGCATAAACTGACTGATGCTGGACGAATCCAGGAGATGATCTGCTCTAAACATGACAGACTGCTGGAGGTTTTTTGTCGTTCTGACCAGAAATGTATTTGTTTGATTTGTGTGATGGATGAACACAAAAATCACGATACTGTTTCAGCTGAAGCAGAGAGGACTGAGAAACAGGTATGCACATATAAGTAGCCTAAACTGTGTTGATTGCAATTGCAGTTATTAAGCAAATTAGGCGGTCTATGATGAGATTATCACATATTTGAAAATATCTGGAAACCATTCAATCAAACTGATGATAACTGATAATCTTTCCTCACTAAAACATTTCGCGCCCATTGAAGATTACTGAAGATTTCTAATGTTTACATTTTTTCCATGCCTCAGAATCAGGTTGGAGAGATGCAAGAAAAATGTCAGCAGAGAATCCAAGAGAGACAGAAGAAGCTTCAAGAGCTCAGAGAGGCTATTAAGACTCACAAGGTGAGACTCAGACTAGCCTAGTTAGTGTTGGACCACATTTTCCAGTTCCACTGCCCACTTTGGCTAACAGACTGATGATCTGATTATCTGTGTTCTAACAGCGCTCTGCACAGGCAGACAGTGAGAGGATCTTTACTGAACTGATCCGTTCAATTAGGAGAAGCTGCTTCGAGGTGATACAGATGATCAGAAATCAGGAAAAGGCTGAAGTGAGTCGAGCTGAAGGACTCTTGAAGCAACTGCAGCAGGAGATTGATGATCTGAGGAGGAGAGACGCTGAGCTGAAGCAGCTTTTACACACAGAAAACCACATCCATTTCCTACAGGTAGCAGGACTAAGCATTGTCTTTTGACTAGAGAATTATTTTCTAATTTTTCTGTAAGTGTAATATAATAAAACCATTATCTGAGACACTAAAATAGTAATTCATACTGTATATTAGATCCATTTGACCAGATCCCTCAAAACATACCAGTTTTGTTTTGTATATATAAAAACAACAGTTCAAGTTTTGTCTGATGATACCAATTATATGGTACACACCAAAACAAATTGTTTTGCTTTGGATCAATGTAATTTTTGTCATTTTCATTTCTGACGTCATCGTGACTTTAACATTTGTCTTTTATTTTCACATACTTTTCCCAATGTAGATTTAAAGCAGATTCTTTCTTACTGACTGAAAAAAATTATCGATCAATGACAATTACTTAAAATAGTATTGGCCTGAAGAGCCCATGAGAACATTAAAATTCCAAAATTAATACAGTACAGATACTGCTAGAGTTGAGGCTGTGAACACATTGTTAGCCCATGCACACACACTCAATATTTAGATCTTAGAATTAAACTAAATATAGGTAATGTTAACTGTAACTTTTTTTTTTAAATTCTTTATTTTTAACTTGATTCAAAAATGGACACTGCAAAACTGTAACAGTAATAAAACTGAAACAAAGGGTTCACAAAATATTTGTGTGGGATTCTAATATGCTTACCCTTAATGGATCAAATATGATTTTTGTTTCTTCTTATCTCTGATGCTTCTGTGCATTTATTCTTTCTAGAGTTTCCGGTCTCTCGCTGAACCTATGGAATCTACAGGTGTTCCCAGAGTTGCTGTCAGTTCGGTCCTCTCTTATGATGATGTGAGAAAATCTGTGTCTCACTTGAAAGAAATACTGGAGGAGTTCTGTAAAGAGAAAATAGAACGATTATCTGGTCAAGGTACAGTGACAGAAACAGTTGCTTTTAGAAAAATTATATATTTTGCAACAATGTTGAAGAAACTGGTGTATAGTAAAATACAATATGAAAGTAATACTTGTTTCATATAATTTTTAAAATGATTAATTAGAACTATTCTAATTAGAAGTCAGAAAGAGCTTTAGCCTTTATTAAAAAGTCTGTTTACACACACAAAGAATTTGACTTGATCACAGGAGCTTCCAGTGCAGAAGAAATTACCGACATAGTGCAACATACATGATAGTGCAGACATACATAGGAATATGTAAAGATGGAAAATAACACTAATAACTAATTATATGTGTTTATTTTCTTAGTAACATACATCGACATTACTTCCAATAATGAACCCAGGACTAGGGAGGAATTCCTACAGTGTAAGTCACATTGAAAACACACACACACACACACACACACACACACACACAGACTGGTTTCCATGTTTCATGGGAGCATTCCATAGGCGCAATGGATTTTATACTGTACAAACTGTATTTTCTATCCTATATATTTTTAGAGTTTCATTTTTATATTCTGTATTTGTTTAATGATTTGGTGATTTAGCTATACTTCCCTTCAAAATCAACGAACTCAGACTCATACAACATGCATGTACTATACAAACTGAGATTTAAATTAAACAGTTAAAATTAAAATTACATTTCTATTTTCATCAGATTCCCATCAGCTCACTCTGGATCTAAACACTTTGCATAAACAGCTTTGTCTGTCTCAGGAAAATAGAGTGGCTACATACACTCACACAGAGCAGCCGTATCCAGATCATCCAGACAGATTTGATGTTTGGCCTCAGATGTTGTGCAGAGAGAGAGTGTGTGGACGCTGTTACTGGGAGGTGGAGTGGAGTGGTGGTGTGGGAATATCAGTGTCATATAAGAGCATCTGCAGGAAGGGAGAAGCTAAAGATAGTTTATTTGGATATAAAAATGAGTCCTGGAAATTGCAGTGCTCTCAATCTAGTCACTTATTTTTGCACAATAACATAAAGACTAATCTCCCTATATTCCCCAGCTCCTGTAGAGTAGGAATGTATGTGGATCACAGAGCAGGAAATCTGTCCTTCTACAAAGTTTCTGACACAATGACCCTCATCCACAGAATCCAGACCACATTCACTCAACCACTCTATCCTGGGTTTGGAGTTTATGGATCAACAGTGAAACTGTGTAATCTAAGAGAGTAGATTGAGATTTACAAATGCTTTTTGTCCATGATCCAAGGTTTGAGCTACATGACAAATCACACACAGTTACAATCTCTTTTATGTAAATTTTTTTGTTGTGCCCACTCTTTTTTTAATATTATACATTATTCATATACCATTATACATTTACAACAGTTACTTCTGGTCCTTGAATCTGCCAAACCTTGAATAACAAGGTAATGTTTCCATTTTATTGGTAAAAGAATTCACCTTAACCATTGTAACCTCAACCATTGTAACTAGGCACTATGACAAATACATCACGTTCCTCAGTGACAATAATATTTGAACTTAAGTGAAGCAACGCGGTGTTCCTTCATTACTAGATCCAAAGTTGTTGTTTCTTATTTATTTACACATTTGTGGCATTGAACTGTTGTATAAATGTGCAAGTGTGAGTATCACACTTATAGTCATGCGAGTATTAGGTGATATTATAATTTTAACTATGCTCACTCTAAATAATAAAATTTCTTTAATTGACTACTTATATACATTTCAAAGTACACAAACGCTTGCAAGTTATATTTCAATTGTTACTGGACAGGCCTTATTATAGGCTCTACAAACACTCACCATTTCCTAGATTGCTTTTAAAAGTCTCAGTAAAAAGTTTCATGCATTATGTTCGTAACTTTAAAAAACATAAGCAGCTTAAACTTTTTAATAAATCCTTATTTTAAAAAAATAACATGAATGTATATTAAAAAACAAACTGAGCATTCTTAGAATGTAGAAAACAACCTTTGCATTGTGCTAAGGAGACACTTTATCTTTAGGTCTTCTATCAGACTTTAAGATGTTTAGAAGCTTTACGAGTTTAGTAGTGAAACATTTGCACAAATAATTACAAAGAAATGACAACTAACTCCCTGAATCAATTGTGATATTTTAAACAAAGACTGAAATAGTATTTTCTTGTAAAACATTCTCCAATAATGTTGTATTTACAAATTCTATTATTTTTTTACCAGTACAAAATTGTATTTATTTTTCTCTCCATCAGATTCCTGTCTGTTCGATATGGATATAAATACAGTGAATAAAAATGTCCAACTTTCTGGGGGAATAGAGTGGCTACTTGCAGTAAACAAGTCCAGCCGTATCCTGGAGATTGTTCTGCTCTCCTTCCAAATGCTTATTCTAGCATACAAAGAGTCTGATCTCCATGTGGTCTTTAGCTCCTGTAGAATAGGAGTGTATGTGGAACACAGAGCAGGAACTCTGTCCTTCTACAGCGTCTCTGACACAATGACCCTCATCCACAGAATCCAGACCACATTCACTCAACCGCTCTATCCAGGGTTATAGTTAGAGTCGTTTTTTTCTTCTTCCTCAAAGTAAATGACTTCAGAATGATTCAACTTAAGAAAAAATACCCTTAATCTGAAAGATGATGGCAAGTGTAAATTTCCATTTTGAACAGAATTCATTTGAACTGTTATAGCAATAGGTAGCAGTTGTTCTGGGTTAGCACATATAGCCTATACTTTTAAAGCTTTTTTAAAACACATTTTATTCATCAAATAAAGCCACGTCATAACCAAAGTTTTCAAAAAAATGAATAAATACTGATTCATTACTGATTGATTAGTGTTCCCAGAACTTCGCAGAAAAATCAAACATTTCTAAATTGTTTACACATCTAATACTACGTATACGCACAGATGATGTTTAATGTTCAATGCACAGAGAGGTTTGAGTCGACCTAATTTGCATAGCACACTTCTCCCACTCTGAGGTCCCTATTTAAACAAGCACTCTACATTCTGGAGCTAGAAATCGGTTTGCCTTTACTTTGTGAGTTCCAGCCAGGCCAATATTAAGGCATTTAATATTCCACTCAGTTTACATTTGAATTTCTATTTAGTTTCACATTAGAATATTGTCACAGTCTACTTTAAATCAACAGAAGACAATAAGATTCAAAATGGCTCAGCTTTTATCAGCATGCTTCTTAATTTTGGTATCAGTGCAACTGGTGAGTATTTGATTTCATAATTATTTGAATGTAATATCTTTATTGAATAAGTGATGTAACCACTATATGAGTAGTGCTGATACACCATCTTATTATTTTTATAGGTCAAATCCTCTGCCGTGTTTGAGTTGAATGTGTACTCTTTCACAACTACCAGTAGCAGTGTGTGTAAACAGTCCAGAGACTGTCAGGTATTTTTCCGTGTTTGCCTGAACTACACGCAGGATGTCATATCATATAGACTGGCATGTTCAAATGGCACTGGACTGACAGGAACATTCAGCTCGGACCAGAGCTCCATCTTCACTAGTGCACCAATAACTGTGCCCTTTAACTTAAATTGGCTGGTGAGTAGCTCAAGAGGGAACATGAACGATTAATATAACAGTTATAACATGTATAGCATGTTCGATAGACTATAATGGTAATATTAGGAATTTTATGATATGGAAAACAACATAATGTCATTAAGTGACAGATATCACTCAAATAGATCCTGAAATATAATCATATATTTTGCAGTTACGCCTAATGTAACACTTTAGTTTATCCAGTCAGAGGACTTTGATCTGATTTCTCTGGGTCAATCATTTTGCCCGTTTTTTTAAGGCAGCCCATATACAGGAAGCTAGAATCCAGAGTCAGATTGTCATGTGAGAATATTATGTTGCAACTGCTGCTTTTGGCAACTAACATCAAAATACCTATACTGGATTAGTGTACAGTAATACTAGTAAAAAGACTCATGAAGCTCTTAGGCTTTCCCTCAATTCTGCCAGGAAAAGATTCAAAGCCTTGGAGTATTGACAACAGTGTCCTCTGCTAATTCGTAACATTTACAGCAGCCATAAAGCCAGGAAATACTTGTGTAATAATTTTTTTCTTGCAGATGCCATTTTAGTACATGAGTATATAGTATAGGCCTATATTTAGTATATATGATTTTGAAAACAAATGCTACCTCCTCACTAGTGACGGGCACTTTCAAAACACTCTTTTGTGAAGCTTTGAAACCTTTGTAAATAATTAGTTTTGAACCAAGAGTGCGTATCAAAATGCCAAAGTCACGTGATTTCAGTAAAGAAGGCTTTGTTATCATGTCATGTTTCGAAATTTCAGTGGTTCACTGATAAAAGGCGGTCTCTGTAAAACAAAGAACTAGTGTCTGTAGTTTTTAGGGGTGGGGGAAAAAAATCGATACAGCATAGTATCGCGATATATTTTCCGCGGCAATACTGTATCGATACATGGACGCCAAGTATCGATCTTTTATTATACTTTTTGGTAGAATAATAAAATCAATTTCTTTACAATCCACTAGGTGGTGGTGTTGAGTTTTTTTCTGGTGAGGTCAGCTGGGTCACCACTAGTGACGGGCACTTTCAAAACACTCTTTTGTGAAGCTTTGAAACCTTTGTAAATAATTAGTTTTGAACCAAGAGTGCGTATCAAAATGCCAAAGTCACGTGATTTCAGTAAAGAAGGCTTTGTTATCATGTCATGTTTCGAAATTTCAGTGGTTCACTGATAAAAGGCGGTCTCTGTAAAACAAAGAACTAGTGTCTGTAGTTTTTAGGGGTGGGGGAAAAAAATCGATACAGCATAGTATCGCGATATATTTTCCGCGGCAATACTGTATCGATACATGGACGCCAAGTATCGATCTTTTATTATACTTTTTGGTAGAATAATAAAATCAATTTCTTTACAATCCACTAGGTGGTGGTGTTGAGTTTTTTTCTGGTGAGGTCAGCTGGGTCACCTTCAGCATGCAGTAAGTTAGTAAAATAAAGAGGGTGGCATTGCGTAAAGTTATCAGGAAAGACCCGTCTGCGTTTAAATCGGATGTATGGACTTAGTTCAGATTTGTAAACAAGGAGGGGATGCAAGTAGGGATGCACCGAAAATATAGGCTACATATAATAATAATAATAATAATATATATGGCGCACCGCGTCGCGCCCGGCAGTGTTCAGCACGCATGTTTCACTCTCCTCGTCACTGCGCGGTTTGACGCTCCGCTCAATATTCCAATCTATGAATGTGCGTTCCACTTGTGTACCGCTCATGCTCATAGGAAAAGCAAAGTCCGCTCAAATAACGCGCTGACAGGAGATTTCTATGCAGTATAGGCCTACTTGTTCCAGTTTGCAGTAGCGCTACTGTGCTGTAACATGAGGGCCTTTCGCACTGTGGGAACCTTTTCATAGTACCAGAACTAATTGTGGAACTACCCACTTTTTGGCATTTTCGCACCGCCGGAACTGGGTGCGATTTTAGTACCAGACTGCCTTTTTCGAGAACCAAATTAGCTCCTACTCCGGAGCAGGGTCTAACCAGCACAACTGGTACTAATCGTGACATAACTAGACATTGATTGGCCAAACGCGTACGAAAATGCCCTCACCCGCCATGATTTAAAACGCCGTGTAAACATACTGTAAACATTGTGTCAACTTAATTTGCAAGTATGGAGAACAGTGATAGATGGACGGACGCTGAAGTGCAGGCACTTGTAGCAAATGTAGCACTGCCAGTTGTCATAGGAGATTCTTAAGCCCCGTTCACACCGCCAGCGACTTTATCGCTGTTTGTCGCTTGTAGCTGGCAATTGATGTCGCTAGTGGGCGTTCCCACTACTGGTTGCCTAGTTACCCCGTAACGCTCCACTACAGCAGATGAATCACGTGCTCTCCACTGACTTCACTCCCATTGGTTGTCGCTCGCGAAATTCGCTGCTTATTTGCATAAAGTTGAAGAATTCTGAACTTTTGTCGCTTGACTCGCATCGCTTGACACGCCCACATTCCGTCGCCAACGGTCACTGTCGCTCATGTTGCCGGAAGTCGCCAGCTCTCCATTGAAAATGAATGGGATTATGTCGTTCTGTCGCTGTGTGTTGCTGGCAGTGTGAACGGGGCTTTAGTCCTCCTTTCTGAAGAACTATTGTTCATTCTTAGTTCATTAACTAAAGTAGTTAACTAATGAACCATATCAAGCCACAAAAAGGCCAAAACTGAAGAAGTTAAAAGTAAAGAAAGTTATCTCTGGATTTATAACCGTCATTACTACAAGCCAAACGAAGCCTGCATTTACTGGACAGAAAGCCAAGCTTGGTTTGTCACTGATCACGTGATTATCTGACAACAGTCGACTAGGGAACTTAGTAAAAATTGCGCCGTGCCCCGGTGTCATACGTAACACCCCTAAAGTTAAGTTGGTTATTCTTAACTGTAACACTAAAATGAAGCACTTATGATCCCGTGATTCACCTCAGAAGGTTACCCAAGCGTTTGCGCGCGTCTTTTGGAGGGCGTGGTTTTGGAAAGTGGGGACGTGTCTAATTCAATGGATAATGGAGGTTCAAGAACAATTTCTGTCATTACAGGGAACAGTCTCGGTGATAATTGAAGCATGGAATGCAGAGTCTTCCAATGATCAGCCAACAGGTATACCTCCTATTTTTGTGTTTTATTTAAATACCAATTTTTTATTTATTTATTTATACGTTATGATTTATTTTCAGAGAATCTAAACAATATGATTGGCCACTTTGCCACCAAAATAAATCTTACTATTGGTCAGAAATGGTCCCTAGGAGAGCAAATAGGAGAGAAAAGTGAGCTACGCTTTTCCTACCGTGTAGTGTGCGATGAATTCTACTATGGCGATGACTGCGTTGATTTCTGCCGTTCACGGGATGACCCTTTCAGTCACTTTACCTGTGACGACGCTGGCAACAGAATTTGCTTGCATGGATGGAAAGGTCAATATTGCGGAGAGCGTAAGTAATCTTTTAATTTATTTGTATTATTATTATTTTAAAAAAATGTTTAACGTTGATATGCTATAAAAGCTGCATATATTTATACGTATGTTATTTCTGTTTGGTCAATTAGAACATCTAATTATGTAATAAGTAAGAATAGCAGCCTACTACATATCGAATATTTTGTATTGTATTTTTGAAAATGATGCACATTTATTCAAATTTTCTCCCTCTTATTTTTAACAGCTATCTGCTTCTCTGGATGTAGTGAGGAACATGGTCATTGTATGGCCCCCGGTCAGTGCAATTGCCGGTATGGATGGCAGGGCCCTCGCTGTGAGGAGTGCTTACCTTACCCAGGGTGCAAACATGGCACCTGCAAACATCCCTGGGAGTGCAGGTGTGAGAAGGGGTGGGGAGGCCTGCTGTGCGACAAGGATCTCAGTGTTTGAATTTATATATTTATATATTCAGTGTTATTTATCATATCATTTAGGCTATAATGGACTGTTATGGTTGAGAAACCACTTGAAATAAACTAAATAAATAAATAATGATGTCCTATTTCTTTGGATTATGGTGCCATGTTAACAACAAACAGTGTTTATGCCACACTGTAAAAAAAATGTACGGTAAAAAACCGGCAGTTCTCAACCCCATAGAAAATCTTTGGCGGGAGTTGAAAATCCGTGTTGCCCAGTGACAGCCCCAAAACATTACTGCTCTTGAGGAATGGGCCAAAATACCAGCAACTGTGTGTGAAAACCTTGTGAAGACTTACAGAAAATGTTTGACCTCTGTCATTGCCAACAAAGTGTATATAACAAAGTATTGAGATGAAATTTTGTTATTGACCAAATACTTATTTTCCACCATAATTTGCAAATAAATTCTTTAAAAATCCTACAATGTGATTTTCTGGATTTTTTTTCTCATTTTGTCTCTCATAGTTGAGGTATACCTATGATGAAAATTACAGGCCTCTCTCATCTTTTTAAGTGGGAGAACTTGCACAATTGGTGGCTGACTAAATACTTTTTTTCCCCACTGTATATTCATATTATATTATCATGACGCCTGCTGGAGATGTCGTCTTTCTCCATTGATGACAGTCATTCAAAAATATCTGTGTAGTCTGACTGTATTTTTGCAAGCAACATATGGATCATAACGATAAAAGTGGATATTTCACTTTTAATATACAAGATAATTTAAACATTGTTAAAACAACACTTTAATTCTATGCAAGAATTTACTACTATCGCAAAATAGTTCAGCTTGAAATTACATACATTTTAAAAATGACAAATTAACATAACATGTATTGTTTTACTAATTACTAATTGTTTTACTAATTTGACAACTACTTTAATTTATTCTCATTCAACAAATTAAAGTGAGTCTTTTTTTTACTATATGTTATGCATGTTTTGTTGGAGAGTTACAATAGTGGAAGGATGAATATGCTTTCTCGATATTTTTACCCTATATTTTATTTTGAAAGCCAATCATTCAAAGCAAGAGGCCACAAATCTAATATAAAAAACAAGGAAAACTATATGACAGACTACATATACACATCCACACACACAAATCAAATGGCTTAACAAGATCAATTATCAAGACACGCCTGTGATCAATCAATGAGGACTAAAACAAAAAAACGGAACTTCAAAATGATAAATGTGATTTTAAACACAACAAAGAGGCACGTGGAGCTCAATATCCAGAAAAGAAAGCCTACAAAATTTTCTGACTAGAAATCAATTAAGCAAACCACATTATACATAAATAGTATCTCCCTTTAGAACTGTTATTCAGGAATGAAAAGAAAGTGAAACACCACACAGACACCTTCTGAGCAAATCCATTTTGTTTTATTAAGATTTTTTTTACTCATTACAGTAAGAGTCAATTCTAACAATAATAAATGTGCATAAAACGAGTCTTTTAGAATGCAGCACAATATCTTACAGCAACTATAAGCAAAGGGCAGGTGTAAGATTCCATGGAGGGCATTAAGCATCCAAGCAAGTGCTTTCAGCAGGCAGGACCACCTGTGGTTTCGCCGTCTGCAACGGCCGACCAGCTTTTAGTGAAGGAAAGTGACGCTTTGGTTTAATAGCTCTTGTGCAGCAATCTCAAATGAGTAAAACGCTGACCTCAGCGGAGGATTTGACAGTTACATTCATTTTGTTTTTGGTTTTTTGTTGTGTGTGTGGTTGGTGTCCTTTCCCTGCTGAAGGCACATTACCAAGTAACTAAGCAACTCTTCTGTTGTCGTGTGTTAAGTGGATGTCTTTTTCTAGCATCTAGAGTCTGTTTGAAGGCCTTGTACTGATCGATCGAGATACTTGATTTACACTATGCTGTGGCAATGATAGTTACGGTAGCCTACTGTGAGAAATTATCTTATCTACGTACTTATCTATTATGAGAATTTTTCTTCTTCATGCAGTTATTTATGTCCATCATATGACAAATATTGTGTTTTTGAAGGTGTAGTATCTATTTGTAAACAAAACCGAATTCCCCACAGTGGAAATCATGACGGGGCAGAGTGTACTGCCAATTTTTGAGACTCTTGGTACGTGTCGGTACTGTATGCAGGCAACGCAGAGCTTTATTATTATTATTTTTTTCTGAACGTGATGGCCGGAAATGATGATAAAAGAACTGTGCCATATTTCTGCAAGCATCATTTGTTAGCTGGACTATTACTCTAATTCTTAAATTATCCTAAGAAAATTTCTCATAGTTATAGAATCTTTTATTATTCAAAATAAGATCTCAATATTATACATGTTCCTTTTCTTTTCTTTATATTGACTATGTACAGAAGTGCAAAAAGTCAACCTTCGTCCCTTAAGTTATGGCTCTCTCTCTCTCTGGTTTGCAGCTGGAGGCCCGACCCTGTGACCTCCCTCCTTTGTTTTACATCTTTAAATATTCAGAAATCTCTGGAGCCAAGTTGCTGCACATTTTGGCTTGACATTGAGGGATGTTTTTTTTTTCTTCTTTGAAATATTACAAGACGATCTTTTAAATTCTGAAATGCATACAGTAGAAAATAACTTCTTTTACTCGAGCATGTACAATTGATACTTTAACCAGCTAAGTGTAGACGTGGTCTTGATTTGACACAAAATAAAGGGTTCAAATATCAACCTTAGCATAGCAACAAATAAACTCTCTTTCTGTCGTTTTCACTCTTTTTTAAGACAAGATAAAACATTTTGTTCAACAAATTCAAAACCAAAATCCTCGAAATTTCAAACATTCTACCATGAAAACTAACATGAAGAATTAAGAATACAACACTACTATTATGAGCTTAACATGATGTAAAAGAAAGTGACAGTAAGATAAACAATATTTCATTTCCTACATTCTAAAACAGTTCTATGACAATAGTCAAATACAAAAAAAAAAAAAATTCTTTATATGCAAACACAATATCTTTCTAACAAAGGCTTTGAAACAGTTAAGTGTAACATGATTAATATACATGTAAAATAAGTGTGAAGAATAAAATCTCATCCGCTGTAATTTCCCATTTGTGATTGAGAGAATGTTTGTGTGGGTTCAAACACTGAAATATAAGGCTTTAAGTGAGGAAACGGCAATGGCGTGCATCCTTTCAAATCTGTGCACCTAAACCAGGCTGAAATCCAGACTCAAGTGAACTCGGATTCATTTCATCTTGAGTCTGGTTGTGACGCTAAAACCCTCGCCAGTAACTTGGGTACCTTGATGGGAACATGTTTCCTGGTTTACAAGCAGCCTTGTAAGTAAAACGAAGCTACACAAATTATTCACCTTCCGTGATCAGTATACCCAGTCAAAACACATTTAAATAAAAAATAAAAAGAGGAAAAAAGACTTTGGCACAACTTAATGTTAAAAACATCTCATGATATTCTCCGTTCCTCTTTTACTTCATCCAGCGGTCACATACTATTTTAAAACAACTCAAAATCAACACAGATGAGAACTGAAGACAAACCCTGACCCAACACTAACCTCATCTTTCCGTGTACCTAGTCTCGAACTCACAATCTGTCACGAAATACTCAAGCAGTGCTTTTCCAGCATGAATTTTAGAGTCCTCACACCGTTACGGCAAAGACTGGAACGCAGTCGCTCTGTTTCCACATGCGACTGTCGAATCTACGCTACCTTGACGTTCTCTAACGTGACTCTCGATTACCTTCTAACGCGACATTCTCTCGTTCAAGGCAATACAAAGAAACAGGGCATTAGGAACAAGGCAACCCTGTTCTCATAGGAGTCAAAAAGGCTTCATAGTTCGATGGATGATCGACAAATAAAAATGGCACGTTTCATAAAAACCCCACACACTTGTGAAATTATGTATAAAAACAAGCACTGTAAAAAATCTCTGGTAAACATAATAACACTGTTGATATAACACTCTAGATCGGTGTCTGGTATTCAGCCGGTGGTTATGGTACATAAAGTTTGTAAGAATGTGCTTCTGAAAGGTCTCAGGTGATCGGTTTCTACCCAAAACATTCATACGTCATTCTCGACTCTGCGCTTACAATCTAGTTTGAACTAAAGATAGAGAAAACTACATACATTGAATTATTTTGCTGGATTATTTGTGCCATATATTGACGTTCGATTCGCTTTTCAATTCAAGGTGCACCTTTTGTAACTTTGTAAACCTTCAGACAAATTTCGAGGAAAGAAAATCAAGGTGTGAATCACAAAAAATATCTCTCGGTCTACTAACATGCCAAAACGGTGTTGAGTCAGACATGAAACTTTTCCTACTAATCCGGCTTGAGAGTAAAAATGTCGTCCTGTCTGACATAATGATGTAGTTCACTCAAATTCTACACATTATGTGGAAGGACATTCAGTTTCACCCCAGTAAAACCCTACCATCGTATATGACCAAATTCTAATCTTCATATTATATTCTATCAGGCGGTGATCTTGATGTTAAAATTTTGAATTTCGTTTGTTTGCCTTTTGTCCGGGGCAACAGCGCATTCCTTTGATCTGTGGGAAAGTAGAAAAAGTGCATATTTAGAACAGGTATTAAAGTGAAAGTTCAACCAAATTCAACAATTCTGCCATTAATTAAATTTAGAATGTTGAAGAATTCTTTTCCATAAGATGACAAGTTAAAAACGGTGCCATAAAAGTAATTAATGTGACTTAATCATTGTATTCTAATGCCAAATTTACACAGTTTAATGCTGCTCAGAGATGGCATGAATGCATTTACATGTTTAATTGCATACTGTTATACTATGGGCTGAGGTGTGTCAGAGCAGGAATAAAAGAAGATATTTTGGAGAATGTTGGTAACCAAAACCAAACAGTTGACGGTAGCCATTGACTTCCATAGTTATCTTTTCTGTACTGTGGAAGTCCATGGCTATCGTCAATTGTTTGATGATTACCAACATTCTGCAAAATATCTTCTTTTGTGTTTAACAGAAGAAAGTTTGGAACAACTTGAGGGTGAGTAAATGATGACAGAATGTTCATTTTTAGGTGTACTATCCCTTTAACTAAGCTGTGTAAATATGCATTAAGTGTTCTGAAGCCATATAATAGTTATGTGTGATGAACAGGCTGAAACTTGCGCTTTAGGTGCCATAGTTTCCTTATTGGTGCTTGACACACATGGTCAAATGAACTAGTTGTATGAAAAAAAGAACTACTTCAAAATTGAGCTTTTGTGTTCTAACCAATGACACTTCTGGCATTATTTAAATGATTTAGAATTCTTTTGGAAAGTTCTTTTCTATACAATGACAGTTAGTTACTATGTCATCTTCAAAAAAAGACAATTCCAAAAAGGTATCATAAAAGTGGTCCATATGTTTGTAATCAAACTGTCACAGGTTTCCGTTTTGGAGCTTGACAAACTTTTGATAACTTTTCAGAATTTTCCTTTTATGTTCTTTTGAAAAAAACAGCCACACATGGGTTTGGAATGACATGAGAGCAAATAATGGCCAAAATTGGGTGAGGTTTTGCTTTAAATCAAACAATTACATTTACATTTCTCAGACAGGCAGGGCACAAATCCAGCAGTTTCTGGAAAATGTCAATACAAATCACTTACTGTTGTGGACTGGAACTACATCTGCGTCAAGTACTTGTGACTAGTCAGATGCTCTGCAGATATTATTGGAATCTGAAGATGAACGGAGAGAAAATGCATGAAAAAAGATCCATTATGACCTTTATTTTTTACAAAAATCATTTCAAAGACTAAAATATTCTCCCTCACCCTCACTCCCTCCCCATGACAGTTAAAAAGAGAATGAGTCAAACACAACACAAATTAAGAAATGCCACTCAAGAAAACGATGAACCATTGCTTATTAGTATAAATCGTTCTCAAGTGAGGCAGGGAGAAGTCAGTGAATTCCCATGCAACATTCCATTTTTCCAATTTGTTGACCTTCACTTTTTATTTCAAAAACTGAAGGTATTCGAAAAGCTGCTTTATAGACTCTACTAACATCTAATGTTTCAAACCATGGAGAACTTTACCCATTTAAAAATTTTTTTTTATCATTTAGAACTGACTATTCTGTCATTGCAGCCTGTAACGCTGGTTTGTATTGATTACAAAGACATGTGATAGCGTTCATATGAGCAGTATTTAAGCTGACTGATATTCTTTTTGTTTCTTGATCAGCAAAACAACAAAGTGAAGCGGGGGAAAAAATTAAATCATTTATCCTTCACAGCCGGCAAAGATGTACCTGAAGCAAAAGCCTAAGAAAAACAACCTCATACATACCAATTGCATGTATTCGTTGGTAGTCAGCTTTGATAGAGAAGAGTCCTCAAAATAACAAAGGACAAAAGAAAAAAATATTAAAATACTATTTATAACCGTCAAATATAACAAGAAATGCTACTGTAACGGTGCTTTAATAGAAATTTCATTTTTACACCATTTTCACAGCGCTCAGATAATTTCAGACTAGTTTCTAAAGCATTTTGTGCACAAAACCTGTACAGAAGATAATTCAAACAACTCAGTTTACTTATGCATAGCTCTGTCTTTATAGTGCATTCTTTTGTTTTTCGCAGCCAATGTATGCAGTGAGAAAATTGCAGGTCAAATAAATGTTTTCACTGTGAATCTGTTGTTTGAAGTACCACAAAAAGTGTACGACTTATCAAAAACCTGTGTGGGCCAACAAGGGGGAGAGATCACTATAAAGGGCCCCCGGCACTCAGAAACAGAATCCATCAGACAGAAAGAGAAAGGTAGAGAGAGTGTGTGTATGTGTGTGTGAGAGAGAGATAGATAGAGAGCGAAAAGGCCATAAAAGTGCAAACCTGATTGGCTGATGCAGATGCGAAGGGAACACTTGTGGCAGATGTGGTTGCTGTGCCCGGGGAAGCGCCGTGCATCATGGGAACTTTTCAGAGGGAAAATGGTATAAGCACACATACAGGGAGTGTGGCCAACAGGTGCACAAACATGATGAGTGAGTGGACACAGAGGGGTATGGAAAGAAAAGTGAGCATTGAAGGTGATATCAGCAAACGGCAAACCAAAAGTGGTGGCAAGAGAGATTGTTCTAAAGAAGACATAAGGGCAGGTAAAGTGTCATTTGAGCCAACACATCAAGAGCTACAAGGAGATGGAAACAAAGGCAAGGCATCTCATAAACTTTGCATTTAGGTTTCAGCTTCCATGTACTACTTTATCATTGAACCCTTCTCGTATTTTCAGTTACTTGAACATCATGCTCAACACTGATTATCTGAGCCACAAACAACTGCAGTGAAAAACAGTATCAACTACAAAGTGATCAATTCAGTGTGAGGAGTTAAAGGGATAGTTCACCCAAAAATGGAAATTTTGCCATTATTATTATTCACCTTCAGGTTATTCCAGAATTACAAACTTAAATATTACATATTATAATATTATACTATGTGTAAAGTTATACTATATATATATATATATATATATATATATATGTGTGTGTGCGCACTATAATTTCTATAATAAATTTTATGATATTATATTAAAACATTGTCACACGCAAACACGTATAAAAGAATGGTTAATTATAATTTGATTATAATTTGAATAATGATCAAATATTAATTATATTTGACAAAAGTACATTATTAAACAAAGAGCATACATATATAAATTGTACAGTGATTGTTATACTATAATTATTATGATAAATTATACCATACTGTACTGTTATACTATATTTATAAAATTAGACTATAATAATATATATATATATATATATATATATATATATATATATATATATACTATATAATATTTATATTATTATAAGAAATATTATTAAAAACGGATCAATATTTAATATTATATAAATTATTATATTATAAGATCAAATATTATATATATTTAGGTTGTTATTCTTTAAAAAACACTCAAATTTCATTCTCCATTCCACATTTTTATACTTGCACAGCAAGAATACTCAAAATTCCTCCTTTTGTTTTTCATGAATGTGAGTAAATTACAGAATTTTCATTTTTCTGTGAAATATCTCTTTAAAAAGCCACCAAAACCCACAACACGATACACACAATGCTATAATTACAACTCACAGTGAAAGAAACCATAGTTGTTTGCATTTAAAGTCAACATGAAATCAAAATGTAATAATATACAATAATCGAATTTTGCATAATGTATTGGTGCATGTTATTGCGAAGATTATTTTTCAGCCGCCTCCTCCAACTTGCCAACTTTCATGTGCCTAAAAGTCACTTTTCACAATCCAGTGCAATTCCTGATGAATCAAATCAAGTTCTTCCTCTACATATCTTCTTGAACATTCCGTTTCACTTGGAAGTATGTCATATTACTGAAGAAAACTGCATTGCAGATGCCGTTTCATGTTGACTTTAACTTCAAATCACAGATGCTTCATAAGTGAAGCGCTCACAGAGATGCCCACTTATCAATGCCAGTTTGTTGGCCATGTGGATTTTGAGGACATGAAAACAACTAAGAGGAGGAAGTCTAGAAACCTACCCATGCTCGCTGCAGGGGTCATGCACAATATTGAGCCTGCCCATCATGCATTGCAACAGGAAGTGGATTGGAAAGGGAGAAGAATCACAACAGCCCATCACAAGGTTGGTTAGAGTGAAGAAATCATAATTAAAGGAAGACAATAATCATTACAGTGATACAGCATGATGTCCATAAGAGACAGATTAGTTAATAAAACCGTGAACTCAGGAAGGGAGCACACGTATTTGTGAGCTCACAGAAACTTGTGTATGTGTGACCGTCACCATAGCAGACTGACTATGACTATGACTGAGTATGACTGAGGAGCATCCCAGGGTTATTGGCAACTGTATTTCGCAGTGAAAGCCATGAGCTCAACTACAGCTATGTTCCAGATTAGAAATGTGATACAAAGATGAGGTGATAGAGAGAAACTAACAGACAGCCCCATTTCTTATTGCTCACTTTACTGTGCATAAATTGCAAGGTTCCCACACCTTCTGACCAAATGGTTTTCTATGACTTTTCCACTGGATAGAGATTTTTAGAATTCATTCATTTTAGAATTCATTTTAATGGAGCGACTACCTACACCAGATATATACAACACTCCATCCCAGTAGTTTGATGAAACCAGAACAAATAAAATAAATAAATAAATTACAAACTACAATAATAAATTACAAATGAAAAGATCTATCTATCTATCTATCTATCTATCTATCTATCTATCTATCTATCTATCTATCTATCGTATGGTATAATATTATGTATAGTATGGTATAGTATATTATACAATACTATACTCTATATTTATATGATAAATACTGTATTATAACATTTATAGTATAATGACAATCATTGGCATAATATTATAATATAATTATCGTATTATATACATATATACAGTATACACTATGTATAAATGTGTGTGTGTGTGTGTGTATAAAGTAATTGTAAAGTAGTAGAACATTTATACTATGTAAAGAAATATTTATATTATATATAATTTTGTTTATTTTATGTATTATTTGTATTATGATAAATTATATTATACTATACTGTGTTATACTATATTTATAAAACTAGTAATTAGGGATGAGTATTACTACATTATTACTACAAATTATATACTATGATATATATATATATATATATATATATATATAATTTGTTAAATTGTAAATTAGAAATATTTATATTATTAGAATAAATTATAGCATACTACTATACTATGTTATACTATATTTATAAAATTATTAGTTAGGGGTGAGTATTACTACATAATATATATATTAGAATATACTATTATCATACCATACTACACTATGTTATGAATACAATTATATATATATACTACATACTTATATACATATTATATTTTACTATTGTATATTACTAAACAAAAAGCAAACTACTCTGTTACTTTTTTTTTTTTTTTGCTATGGCTGTGGGAACCCTGTCTCTTTAAAAAAAAAGTTACCCCATGTCTTTGTGCATCCCTTATAGTTTAGAAAGGTCAAAGGTTAGATCAAGGAGTGGTCAGGGTTGACGAGAAGCCCTACCTGACGGAATAAAGGCAGCTTGCTGCTGAAACTGCATGTTGGCCAAAGCCTGCTGGTACTGGAGCATGCCAGTACTGAACATGCTCGTGGCACCGTTGGCTTTCTCAAGCGCAGGTCGCTTCGGTAAAGGTGGCATGACACTGTGAGGAATTCCCTGCTCCGATAAGACCACAGGGAAGGGGGGTGGAGGAAATGGGGAACGGGTCGGGATGTGTGGAAGAGAGTAAAGACAGGAAAGGAACAAGAAAAAGACAGAATTATCATCAGAGGGCAAAACATCACAGGGCTCGATTCTGACAAACAAGCAAGCAAGCGGCAGCTAATACATGTCTACGGCACAAGCAAAAGCCAAAGAGCCAGTTTCTCTCGCTATAAAACTAAAATTAGCACTGAGCATCTGTGATTAACATCAGGAGAGTATTAATTCATTAACATTACAACATCCATACTGCTAACTCAATGCAAATGAAGCAAGCGTAGCACTACTCAAATGTATCGCAGACATAAGTGACAAAAAAAGAAAAAGAAAAAGAAAAAAAGGAAAATAAACTGCACTGCTCACTCCATGATAAGTGTGAGAAAGAGACTAGATCTTTTCTGTTGCTTTAATGGTGGAGCTTTAGTATTCTTCTGCTGCTACCCCTCCCATAGACACATGCACTACACAGAGATACTAAACATGCATACTGAACATAAACATATAGAAGTCATGTCACTAAAGTTTAGAACATCTGGCCCTGTCCTCACGCCCTGGAATAACACACGTGTGATGATCTGATTGCGGCAGACGGGCATATCTGGTTTCTCGTTACACATCTGCTCAACATGCTCGCCGCAGTCAGTTGATCACACGACATGGTAACACAGAACACAACAGAGGCATTAAATAAACAGACAACAAAAGGACTATGCTTGCAAATTATCTTTCTTCTGTTGTTAAGACACTACAATAAAGCAACATGCCAAGCAAAAAGGTGAAAGGTCATAGTACCAGGTCAAAGGTGGCTTCGAGGGGTCGCTTCAGTGATTTGACAGCCGACTGAGTCTTAATTAGCAGGCAGCGAGCACATGATGGCAATGGGCCAATGGGTTCAAGCGCATTAACATAAACAGCAAGCAGAGGTGCATCATGGGGGCAGCAGTGCATTTTGGGTAGGTGAGAAAAAAAACAAATAAAAACAAATCATTGGAATGCAGTATACAGGGGGATATCAGGACTAAGGCATGCAGAAATACAGTCCATTCTGTTTTAGAAAACTCTGTACTGAGATTCAATTAACAAGTACATCAATTATGGTAACATTAACAGGGTTTCATTGACAGTAAACATACTTGTAATACAACGTCAACAGTGGATAACATTGCGCTGGATTGCAAACATACATTTAATGTGCAGAAATGTTACACAAAAATAACTAGGACGCTGCCCTCTGCTCGACAGGATGATGAAATTACATATTTGTGCAGTTTAAATGGGAATGGCAATGACTTGTTGTAGGTATATAATATCTTATACAGATCTCTATTAAAATATAATCCATAAGAAACATTCATAAATTCTTATTTATTATTAAAAACTCCTGAAACTTTTTTTTTTTAGAAACCTGAGATCAAATATATTCCAAGAAAGTGTTAATTTTACACTATTTCTACACAATACATTTTTTATTTTTTTTTATTTTTTATAAATCCTTATTTAAAGATTCATTTTTTTCAAATTAAAATGTTTTTCTTTAAAGGAAGAATTCAAACAAAATTAAAGTTTGCTTAAAATGTACTCATCTAAAGGCTATCCAAGATGTAGATGAGTTTGTTTCTTCATCAGAACAGATTTGGAGAAATTTAGAATTACATCACTTGCTCCCCAATGGATCCTCTGCAGTGAATGGGTGCCATCAGAATGAGAGTCCAAACAGCTGATAAAAACATCACAATAAGACTCCAGTCCATCTATTATTGTCTTAAGAAGTAAAAACTGTGTCTTTGTAAGATACAAATCCATTACTAAGGATGTTTTATTCAAAACATCACTTCTGGCCAAAATACCAGTCTATAAACCATAATAATGCTTCCTCAAGGGAAAAAGTCCATCACCTATTGTCCTCTCACATCAAAACAGCCCTTAATGACTGTTTTTGCTTGTAAACTGTGCTTGATCTGTGCATACTTCTCTCCTGATTCAGACAAGATGACATTTTCACTAGAAAAAGCAATATTATGGATAGAGTACTCGATTTGAAGTTAAAATGTCATAATGATGATTTTGTTTTCTTACAAACGTGCAGCTTTTCACTTCACAAGTTGTGAATTGATGGACTGGAGTGGTGTGGATTACTTGTGGGTTATTATAATGTTTTTATCAGCTGTTTGGACTCTTATTCTGACGGCACCCATTCACTGCAAAGGATCCATTGGTGAGCAAGTGATGCAATGCTATGCTTTCTCCAAAACTGTTCTGACGAAGAAACAAACTCATCCCCATCTTGGATGGCCCGAGGGTGAGTACATTTTCATTTTTGTGTGAACAATTCCTTTAAATGCATTCTTTAAAATGGCACAGAAATGTCAAATATATACCATCTGAAAAAGTGTTAATTCTACACACAGTATGATGCATGAGAACAGTATTACATGACTATGTGTGTGTGAGGATGTAGAGGATGTGCTCACCATGGCAGCGGCGGCCGTGGCCTGATTGACCTGGTGCTGGGCCGCTTTGATCTTGGCCTGCAGGTGTGCAGGAGGGTGGAAGTATTTGCACTTGTCTCTGGAGCAGCGGCCCTTTATGTAATCCATACACACTGTCACTGTGTTATCACTGGGGTCGATCATTGTGCTGTCGGCAGGGTGGGCAAACCTGCAGTCCGTCTCTCCACGAGAGCAGTTGCCACGCTGGTATTCACGACACACCTGAAAATACACACAGCTGTAATGCATCGCTTGGCATATTGAGAGACTACAAAGTTTGTGTTTGTGTAAAAACAAAATTTGACTGAATTGTGCACTAATTAGCCAAGGTTTCATTAATAAAGAGACCCTGTAATCTGTCATTTAATTATGTTCAGAATGGCATGCTACTATTGAAACAAAGTAATTTGCAGCAGTGTGCATAATATGTGAACTTTCTGTATGCATGGATGCAGAAATGTGAAGGGTGTAACCAAAGCACAATGTGCATGTGTGTACCATAGCCCACAATGCAATGCAAAATATTTTTTTATATCTCTTCCTTGACTTAATATTTTAACAGTTAAGAGACTTTCCACAAAAGTGCATTAAAATATTGCTAAAATGTACAGTGAACAACCAGTAAACTGCATGAAATATTGTACTCCACAATGCAATGCACTCAACCAATCCACCATGTAGTTTTATAAAAAAATATATATTTATAATCTAAAAAAGTACCCATATTTTATAACAATCCCAATTTATGTTATTTTACAAATATAAAAAATAATACAGTATAATAAAAATATTATAATTAATTATATCAATATAACAAATTATGTTAATAATTATGATTATAATAGTTATGTTAAAACATTTCACCCATATTTAACACCAGCTTAGCTTGTTATTTTATAAATAGAAATAATGAATACATTATAATATAATTAAGTATAATGTTTTATATTCATATAATAAATTAAAAGACAACCTTCCATTTCCAGAGTGATTATGTAATATCAGCCTTAATTTGTACTGCATTTCCCATCTTGGCTTTTTATTTGATTAATTGCATGTAATGTAGCATACTACAGATTAAAACACTTATTAGTGCATACTACATGCTGTTGCACATAAGTATATTTTTTAAAACGAAACAGTAGGCAGGATATAGTACACACTGTGCAGTTTGTAACATTATTTAATTCAACACATAGCCAGTATTGTAGCACTTTCTCAGATGAGGAAATGTGTTTTTTCATTCAGCGGTCAGCAGAGGGCAGCAGCCCCTTTATTTCTTACTTACTAGCAAGTATAGTTGTAACTTACATGCCTGCACACAAAGATTTAGATTTAAATGTGTATATGTGTGAAAGAAAGAGATATTGATATTGGCTCTCTGATGACCTCATACCTCCAGACGGTCTGTTCTGAGGAGTTTCTGGGCGGCCGCAGCTGAAGCAGCAGCAGCGGACGGCACGGATCCCACAGCAGGGCTGCCCGCCATCAGCACAGGTGCGCTGGGCAGGATCTCTGCAGGCATCATTCCAGGAGACACTGGGCCCAGGTACGGATTAAACGCAGCTGCGGCGGCTGCTGCAGCAGCTGCACTGGCGTTGGTTGCAAGGCTTGGCGTGACCGAAAACATAGGCTGAAACAGACCGAAAATAATAAATGAAACTGATATAGTGACACTGCTATAAATCGACTTTCTGTTCCTGTGACTTATGCAAATTATATAGTCAAGGGTAAAAAAATAAGCACTGTTATTTGACTATTATCCACACTTATAAAAGGTATCATGGCAGTACATGGTTTTGTGTTATTAATTATTAACATTGTTTTTAATAAGTGCATGGCTACAGTATTTTATCATTTATACCATTAACACAAATTAATATAACTACTTTTTTGGGCATTGTATATATATATATCGTAATAAAAACATAAGTTAGTATATAATAATAAAAGTGGCACAAAGCATAAATAAACTTGAACAAACATTAGACTAACATTTACAGAAAATGCTTATGTATAGAAATGGCCTGATCTCTCTTGAGGTCATAAGAATGGAGCCTCACCATTGGCTGAAGCTGACTTCCTGGCATGATGGCATTGGCTAGCTGCATCTGCTGGGCGAGCATTGCCATGTTCTTCTGCTGGATCAGATTGTTACGGCCATTAATCTCCAGCTGTGTCTTCAGGTGAGGAGGAGGGTGCAGGTACTTACAGTTCTCTCTGGAACAACGACCCTGAGAATAATAGAGAGAGAGGAAGAACGTGAGGAGAAGAAAGAGGAAATGTACATATTAAACCTCATGTTTTATTGTGATTTTACTGTTTTAAGTTAGATTCATACATGTAAAAAATAATAGTAATTGAATTCAAGTAAATTAATCATTTGTGATTTACTAAAACACACAAAATTACCAGAAAACATCAACAACAACAAAAAAATTTAATTAAAACAACATTTTTTGAATAAAAGCATAAATATATTGTCATCATTTCATCACCCTTGTGTTTTTCCAAATTTGTTCATTATATGTATATATATGAGTAAATGATATGACAAAATGAAGAATATTTAAAAGAATATTCATTTTGTGGGTGAACAAACCATTTAACCTCTTGTAATGAACCTAAATTCTTCAAATATGTTTATATCATTTCATCATATCACTTTTGTTTAAGTTTAACTTGATGCACTAAAATAAATCAAACTAAAATTGAAATAAAAAAAAACTATATAGACATATTAAGAAAAACAAAACAAAAGTACATATTAAGAAAAAAGAATAAACAAAACAAAGAGCACTAAAACTTGAACTAATGAACTTTCAAATATAAAATTACAAACAGAAAATATAAAGTTAAAAACAAACTCGAAATATAAAAAAATAAACTAAATGATGGTAAAATGACTCGTATAATATAGAAGTTTTATCCCTGTTTTAGACATGCACTTTTCGCAAATTTGCAAAACACACTGTAGAAAAGTATAGTAACACAGATTAAAATAAACACCAAGCATGGGTGTATACTAATTATACAATGTTTGCATTTGATAACTGCATTATTAGTAAATGGCATGCAACTGGCATCTCCAGTTCTGGTTTATTCTCTCTGTTTAACAGCAGATAGAGGGAACACCCTGTTCTCATTCCAGCTGACAGTATTGAGTGCATGGGAAAGCCCTCTGCTCTAATGCATCTGACCACAACCCGCAGCTGCATTCAGCCCACGTGGAATCGGCCCTGACAGGCTGTCACTCAATCGATTAGTCGAGTATCGATTAACGAGTCACATCAGTGCAAGAGAAATCCATCTGACGAGTTTATGGATCTACAGTAACCTGTGTGACCCCCCCGTCCACATGCACTCGGATGATGAGTGTCTTTATCTGGGCTGCGTAGGTGAGTATGTCAGGACACACTCAGGTGAGTATGTTCAATTATCTCTGCAGCCAGCACTTTAGGAGTGTTATGCAGTTGTGATCAGTGAATGGATCTGGATGGATATACAGGGCTAAAAAGTTTCTGGAAAGTGAACTGACTTATCTCCTAAACTCACAATGCCAAAAAATGCTTTTATGCAAAGCATTTACAATTGCTAGAAGAGAATGCAGTTAACTGGAACTAGGTTTGCATAAACTAAAAACAAACACAAAACTACTTACAACAAAGCAACATTTGCTGTATAACTCCAATAATATATTTATAACAATTGTCAATTTTAATTTTAAATGATATTATTAAATTATTTTTAAACTATTAAAATAAATAATATTTTATTTGTGGCATCCAATAATACAGCACAATCCAGTTTAGGCATTTTTGCTGTAATTTTTTTTACACTATAGCCTGTTTTAATTTTAATTATATAATAGTGCTGTCAAATGATTAATCGCAATTAATCGCATACAAAATAAAATTTTCTGTTTACATAATATATGTGTGCATACTGTGTAGGCTATATTTATTATGTATATATAAATACACACACATACAGTATATATTTTGAAAATATTTACATGTACATATTTATATTCATATAAATTATATTATATATAAATATATTTCATATATAAACATATTTTCCTGAAATATATACATGCATGTGTGTGTATTTATATATACATAATAAATATACACAGTACACACACATATATTATGTAAACAAAAATGTTTATTTTGGATGCGATTAATCACAATTAATTGTTTGACAGCACTATTACATAATAATAATTTAGATAATAAGTTCTGAATACAGCATGTTTTATTAATTCTTGTAAAATGACTGTAAAATACAGTGTTTTGTATTCAATTAAAACAAATTTACAGAAAGTTCAAAAGAACAGCATTTATTTGAAATATTTTGTAACGTTAAATGTCACTATTGATCAACTGTGTGTCCTTGCTGAATAAACATATTAGCCTACTTTCTTACAACACACACACACACACACACGCGCG